CCACCCCTGATTCCTGCTCTGCCGGCCGTGGCCTTCTCTCTCCTGTCGCAGCCTTGACCTGCAGCACCCACAGCTGTGCTTTCTGACCATCTACCACCCCTATCTAGGTCAAGCCTGTATTGTGTTAGGTCCTGCACACACCTATAATCAGATGCAATCGTTGCTGCAAAGAATAAGTCTTGACCGACAAGGCAGATCAATAGGAAGGCACATGCGAGCCAAGTGTCACAGGTACTTGCTTTGTGTACTTTGCTATTTCTAAATAGCCCCCCAAGTCATGCAGGTACTCCAGCCAGCCTGCTTCTCTGGGGGAAGCTATTATTGAAGCAATCCAGAAGGGCTTCATTTTCAGGAGGGCATTTTTATAAGAGGTAGAGTGCTGCAGGCCGGCAGACTGTCCTCTGCCTACCCCAAAAGTTATGAGGCCTTTTCTAGCTATGGGATAGCCAGAAGCATTTCATAAGCACAGGCTCCCTGATTCATAGCATGCTTTAAGGAATGAAACATTTCCCTGGCTTACACTAGGGCTGGCCGCAAGCCTGTGCTTCTTGCCCTGGTGCTCAGACCTGTGTTTCACATGGGAAAGCAATCACGAGTGGGCAGCACCCTGGGGTTTTGCACCTCATCCGGCTGTGCCAATGCAGGGCTTGCGAGGGTTTCGTACCAGCTCAGGGCAATGCTTGTTGGTTCACCAGCAGCACCTCCTCAGGCACGCCGGCTTCTCACGGGAGCTCTCCCATCCAAGCACAGCTAAGGCCAACAGCGCTGGAGACGTTACAGCATGTCAGGAGCGTGCCCATCCAGAGGGTTGATTTATGTTCCTCATGCTCTTTGAATCCACCTCTCCTTGCCTCTTCCTTGAGAGCACAGCTCGTGGCTGGCGTGTCTCGATTCAACACCCTTACAAGAATGCAGATCTCTTGGGGAGCTCGACTATCTCTTACAGACCCGATGACTACCCTCTGCTGTTAGCTGCCTCCAGATGGAGGAAAAATGAGTGGGGAGGGGGAAGGATGGGGGAAGAGGGAGTGTGCATGCACTGCTGATTTATTTGGAAAGAGGGCACTGCTTGCCAGTGTCAACACCAGAATAGTTTCTGAATTTCAAAGAGGACAGTGAAGGCAGAGCTGGCAAGGGACAGCCTGCGTGAAGGCAAACACTCAGACATGCCAGGCAGTTGCTATTCAACCTGACATCCACAAATCCTGCTGGGCTCCACTGCAGAGTCTGGATGTGGCTAAGGGCTGTCTCTCCTCTTGCTCTGACTCTTGTCTCCTTTTTCCCCCCTGGCTGTACGTGCTCTGTCTGCCTGGGCATTTATCTCAGGCTCAGGGCTTCTCTGTGCTGCAGGAAAAGTGTATGCAGGTAAGAAGCAGGCCCTGAATCCTCGATTTTCAATTCTCCCCATTAAAATATAAGTAGAGAGGTAGTTAGCCATGTTAGTTGGAAGTTCGTAGCATCTGACCAGTTTTGTACCAAGTCAGGGCAATGCTTCTTGGTTCACCAGCAGCGCCTCCTCAAGTACGCTCCCATCCAAGTACTGCTAGGGCCAGCAGTGCTGGAGACATTACATGCCATGCTGCCTTGCCTTCTTCATTAAAACATAGCTAAGGGGATGCCATCCCAGCTGTCATGTCCCCTGGCAGAGCTAATGGAGGTTGCAAAGGTGTGCCTGGTCTTCAGATGCACTACGCTAAAGGAAAGAGAAAGGGAAGAGGCCCGACAACAAAGTCCTTCTTGCTCACACTGTCAGAGCCATCAGGCATGAGGCTTCAGTTAGGTGACTGCAGAATTTGGGGCATCATTGCAAGGGAAAGAAAGGAGGATTGCCAGGAAACCAAGTAGACCACCCCCCTCTCTCCAACAGCAGCTGTGAGAGCCACACCTGCAAGGGGCACTCTTGTACAGCTCTTGAACATAATGCCAGCATGCAATGGAGTCACGGCATTGTTTTCAAGCACATATTGAGCCCAGAATGATTCCTGAACACACACAGGAGCAGAAGCCCGAAGGAGATTGAAGGAGATTAAAGGAGAAGGAATGGAGCTGCTAAAACCTCTACCAGAGCTGAAACTCCCTGGGCACGTGGAAGACAATAGGAAGAGGCTTCACTCTGTACGTGTAAGCAATGGCTGAAAAGGAAGAAAATCAGAAAGTAGCCCTATTGCTGAAAGTAGCAGGGTCTGATGTGTTCAGTAATTTTTGGTTAACACAGGCAAAGGAAGCTTTGCCTAGGACAGGGGTGGGCAAAATGTGGCCCGGGGGGCCAGATGCGGCCCGCCAGGCCATTCTATTCGGCCTGCGGGGCCCCTAAAAAATTTAGCAAATTAATATTTATCTGCCCTGGGCTGCCTGTCATGTGGCCCTGGATGGCTTGCCAAACCTCAGTAAGTGGCCCTCTGCCCAAAATAATTGCCCGCCCCTGGCCTAAGAGAAAAGAGCAAAAAGCTTCGTGTCTTTATTTAAGTGAGGTAAGCATTAGCTGAAGCTTACTGTAGACCACTCATAGCTATTACTCAAAAAAACAGGACATGAAAAACACACCTCCCTACTTCAGGAAGATGGATTATTGTATTCAGTTACCAACATATTATTTGCAAATTTTCAACCCCCAGAAAGAACCAGAAGCAGTAGACATGCTCCAGAGCATCTGACAAATGCACTTTGTTTCAAAGTCCAAAGCTAGATGTTTTACATGTCAGTTGGATTAGAAAATCTTCCTGGCCTCCAAAGAAACGCGGACGGTAATTGCCAAAGTAACACTTCAGGATGAGAATAGGCAGAAAGTGATTAAGATTATTGGCACAGGATGACCAGGACGGCATGTTCCTAGGCTCTGCCACCGATTCAGAGAGAGCTCTCAGTTCTAAATGGGATTTTGTTTCAAGGTATTCACAGAGTGAACCAAATGATGATGCAGAAAAGTATGTTAAAAAGACTGCATAAAGGTCAGCACACTGGCTTTAAATGAACAGCAACACTGATCTATGCGGTAGCCGTGTTGGTCTAAGAAATGGAGACAAAACTCTTGAGCTAGAGGCAATATCTTTTATTAGACCAACTAAATAGTAGCAATTTTTTTTTCTTTCAAGAGTTTTGCTTGCCTCTATTTCTTAGACCAACCTGGCTACAGCATATGTCCTTGAAACGTGGAAAATATTGTATTCAGCTGTTTGGAAATGCAAACTTCATTGCTAACCATGAAAAAAGAAATGTTCACCTCCCTGCCTGATGTCAGACACCTCCAGGGAAGAAGCCTGCCAACTCCATATATCACAGAGCAACGCTCTCGCAAAAGGACTCTGAGGACCCCAGGGGACAAAACTTCCACCCTCTACCTCCCCCATGCAACATGAAGTTTCTTTTCTACCTGGGAGAACTTTTACAATCTTTGAATTCTCCTCAACCTGGTTTAGACCCGAAAGCTTGCAAAGAAAAATGTTATTTTTTTTGGCTACTATTTAGTTGGTCTAATAAAAGATATCGCCTCTAGCACATGAGTTTTGTTTGTCAGCAACACTGAAGAATGTATTAAGGCTTGTCTCACATGCCAAAAACAAAGGCCAAGTCAAGAAAAAGAGTTCACTGGTGGCACAGGAAATACTGGCCATCTGGAGCAAGATACTAGGTATTAGATTTTTTTATGCAGATGGGGGAAAAACTATGTACTCATTCTGGAGCATAAATTCTCGTTTCCTCAAAATAACCTTAATGCAAGATATTACAGATAAGCAAGTCCCCATTATTCCTCATCCATTGGGATGGTATAAAATTGTGTCAATGTAGTAAGTGTCTGCTGAAAAATTCTGTGGATTCATACTCTGATTTATTTCTAATAGTGTTAAGATAGAGGATAACACCAGTGAAACAAAGTTCATATCTCCAGTGTTAAACCTGACGTCAGAGGAACTGGGGATTTGCAGAAATTTAAAGATGCAAATACCGCTACGCTAAAATAGCAAAGTGACTTAGGATCTTCTGCTCTACTCAGCACTGGTGAACTATCATAGTGTGTCCCATTTGGGGGCATTGCACTTCATAAACAATGTGAACAAGTTAGGAAGAGTTGAATGAAGAGCAACAAAAAAGGATAAGAGCTCAAGGGATCATGAATTATGAGGAAAAAAAATGGAAGAACTGGGACTACTTGGTCTAGATGACAGAACAGGCTCCCCAGAGAGGCCGTGCAATCTCCAGCCTTGGCAGTTTTTAAGAGCAGGGTAGCCAAACACTTGGCTGGGATAGTTTAGACCAAGATGAGCAGGAAGTTGGACTAGTCACCCCCCCAGCCGTGCACCAATACAGGCTGGGGGGGTGACTGGCTGGGCAGCAGCTCTGTGGAAAAGGACCTGGGGGTGACAGTGGACAAGAAGCTGAATAGGAGCCAGCAGTGTGCCCTTGTTGCCAAGCAGGCTACCAGCATCCTGGGCTGCGTTGGTAGGAGCACTGATTCTTCCCCTCTATTCAGCACTGGTGAGGCTGCATCTGGAGCCCTGTGTCCAGTTTTGGGCCCCCCCACTACAGAAAGGATGTGGATAAACTGTAGAGTCCAGTGGAGGGCAACGAAAATGGTTCAGGGGCTGGGGGACATGACTTAGGAGAGCCTGAGGGAACTGGGCTTATTCAGTCTGCAGAAGAGAAGACTGAGAGAGGATTTGATAGCAACCTTCAACTCCCTGCAGGGCAGCTGCAGAGAGGACGGAGCTGGGCTGTTCTCAGTGGGGGCAGACGACAGAACAAGGAGCAATGGGCTCAAGCTGCAGGAAGGGAAGTTTAGGTTGGATATTAGGAAAAACTCTCTCACTGGGAAGGTAGTCAAACACTGGAACAGGCTACCTGGAGAGGTGGTGGGATCTCCATCCTTGGAGGTTTTTAAGACCCAGGTAGACAAAGCCTTGGCTGGGAAGATGATAGTTGGGGCTGGTCCTGCTTTGAGCAGGGCGTTAGACTAGATGTGACCTCCTGAGCTCCCTCCCCACCCTCATTTTCAATGATTCGAAGCTCCATGGATTAATATAATATTCTTTCTTGCTACAATGAACAGTTTGTTTTGGGCTCTTCATGGATTCCTAGGGCCATGGCAAGAACACCAAAAAGAAGAGATTCGCTTCAACTGAGATTTTCAAAGGAAAATGAGTGAAGACAAGCCTAAGGGAGTTTGGCACCTAACTAAATGTAACTAAATCCATGTTCCTTTGAAACCCTTAGTCGGAGTCCAGCTTGCTGCTGCAGCTAGGGATATATTACCAGCTGGACTTTGTTTTTCTTTCTTTCTTTTTTGTAGGAGGGAAAGGAAATGTTTGAATAATAATTATTGTGTCCTGAATTTTTCAAAGCAGCACGTGACTTGAAACCTAGGGGAAGGCAAAGCCTGGAGCACTGAATCTGTGGCAATCGGGCAGAGAAGGATCTATAAGGTGGGAGCAGCCCGGATTGCCTGTTCCTGTGCTGTGGATCAATAAGACTTGGTTAGCTCCAGTGTAAGTGTATTTCCTCCACAGACTTCAAAGCTGCCTTCACAGCATTATCCTCATGTCACCGGTGGACAAAACTGGCGCACAGAGGAGGGAGCTCTTTGTAGTTGCAGAGGATTTGAGTGGAGGAATTGGACTCCCCTTCCAGAAAGGAAGGAGAGTCTAGTGGTGAGGGGTTAGCCTGGAGCTCAAAATAGTGACTTGTCTAAGGTCATACAGGGCAGCATTTGTCTTCTTCTGCTTCCACACCCCATTTCTAAAACCAAGATCATCAACACATTCCCCTATGACAGGAGTTTTTGGACGATGCCCATGTTAAAGCTTATGAGATATCCAGAGGCTATAGCAAGGGAGGCCACAAAGAGAGAAAGAGTGCAGATTGGCACCTGGGCTTCTACCTTTGCCTTGGTTTTTCTATGGCATCCTTCACCACAGTAGCTAAGCACCAGACTGTTCCCTCCCTGCAACTGGGCAAAGGACTTCAGCTCCCAGGGCTGCCAATCTGACTCCTCTCACCAAGAGGTGAAGACAAATTCTTAGTGTTATATGAGATCTTCGGTATGTAACTTCTGTACCTTGGATGTTGCTAGTAAATACCAAGGAGAAATATTTCTGCAATATATCTGCATCCTGAGATTGGCTGATGACCTACAGGCAAGGGCTTGCACCCTCAGGGCAGCTCTGATTTATCTCATCCTGCCGGCACACAGGTCAGAGTGGCTCCATCTCTGAAGAGCTCATCGTCGTCCCTCAAAGGTTTGATACTTTTTTATTCTTTTTTTTTTTTAACCTGGCCTCCTGCCTCATCAGCTTTTCCTGATGAGAAACACAGGAGACCTAGCGAGACTCTGTTAAAAACAACATCCACAATTCCACTAACTCGTTAAACAGAGAGCCTGGAAACTGCCAACGCTTCGGCAAGGAGAGACGAGCAAGAGAGAGAGGGAGAGAGGAGAGAAAAAGCAGGTTATTTATAACGTCAGGCAGCGTTAGGGTCTCTTCACTCTCCTCTGCAAACTGTCTGCTGTTAGGAGGTCACTCACAAAAAAAAAAAAGAAAGAAAGAAATACCACCCTGCTGAGCCTGTGACCTGCAAGCACAATATTTGATTAGGGATCTGGGGCGGGCACCAACCCTGGCAAACTGAGATGCACACACATGCTCTTTAACACAAGGAGATCAGGCAGAAGAGTGCTGAGGCTTTGGAAAAGACCCTCTTAGCCCGGTAAGTTCCTTTCTGCATTTATTTGGATTGTTTCTAGCTCCGTTTATTTGCCTACCTGTGCGGCAGAGGGAAAGCAACCCCGCTCACCACGCTGCCAGCACGACGCTGAAGCAGGGTGGCATGTGAATCACATGCCAGCAACACGGGTGGCACAGGGCTGAGCCTGGAAGGCTGCTTGAATGCCTGGTGTGGGAGCAGTGGGGAAAGCAATCATCCTTACTAACCCTTTGTCCCCCTTGGCAATTTGTGAAGTTCCTGGAAGGGAGAAAGGAGATGAGATTTGTGCCAGTCTCCATGCTGCAACCTCCACCTGAGTGCCCCCTTCTCCCAGGACGGGTACCTGGCTATGGTGTCAGTGTCCCATCTACACTCGGTTCTAGCACACCTAGGTTGTGATGGTCAGAAGGTGCAAATGATGACAGCTGGATAAATCTCATGCTGGTACAGGGTGTCAATCCTAATTAGAAAATGAAACAGGCTTGGTCAGGCTGATGGAGACAGAGATTCAGTATTTGTATATATATATTATCCTACATCTGGAAGGAACTCAGATACCACCATAGAGAAGGAGTTGGGTGGTGGAAATACACCGACAGCAAGGGTTCAGAAGATGGAAGAGAAGCCCCGGAAAGAGAGGGAAAAGGTGGTGTATGTCGAGGAATCAAGACAGAGACCATCTAGGAAGGCGTTGCATGTGGATGAAAGAGCCCCTAGGTGCCATTCTGTGTAACGGAGACTTTCCTTAAGGAACAGTGCTGCACAGGGTAGAGAAATGTCCTTCGATCAATGTTGCACAGGGGGAAAGAGAACTTCAGCATGGGTGGAGGATGCTTGCATGCCAGGCAGAGCTTGCGCAGAAGCCGGGAGCCGTATTTTACCAGGCAAGGTGCCCCTGGAATGGGAGCAGGGGAAGCGCCGATCCCCGAAGCAGCCCGTGTGCGCCAACATCTCACAGCACACTCAGAGCCTCTAATGCACCCTGTTCCATCTGCTCCATCAGCTGCCGGCACTCCCATGCGTATGGAAAAAGTGGGATAGAAAAAAAATATAAAGAGCCTGACCACAGAGGTTTCAATCCCTCTTTTCTTCCTGCATGAGCTGTGTGCCAGCTAGCCAGCTCAGGGCAGGGCAGTCGGGATCAGAGCAGCACTGTACCCTCTTTGTCTGGAGTGCTGAGATTCACATTTAGTGTTGCAGCTATACATACCCATCTCCTGCTACAGTTTTAGCTGGTGTGCATCTTTCTGAGTTAGGCCCCGTGCTAGCAATTCAGGGGCTCCTCATGGTAACTAATGAGTCTGAAGACAGCCTACTCCATCTGGATCCTTGGTGGTGGGGTATCTGCACTGCAGAGACAGCAGACCTGGGTTGGTGGGGTCCTACTCCAAGCACCGAGTCCAAAGGGTGCATGGGGCACCAACTTTCCCACTTGCTTGTGTGTCTGGAGGCCTCTTTATTGCTTCTAGTTCAGCAGCACCAGCCAAGACTGGAGACCCACTGGGCTGCACATACAGCTAATGAGAGACCATTCCTGCCTCTAACAGCTGAGAGTTTAAGACCAAAAAGGACAGGACATAGTAGTATTGCCCCTCAAGATGCATAAGTGAAAGATAGGGACACAGGGAGAGATTAAGACGCACAGCCCTGCTCACCTGCTCCCTTTCCACAAGCATCAGACTCAGAAAGGAGATGGTGAAGCTGCCCTGGGGATGCCTCCACCACTGCTGTCAAGGATGTTGGAGATGGAGACCTCCAGGGCCGCAGTGGGAGGTGCCCCCTCCGTGTGGCTTCACCACCTCGCTTCCGGGTTTGGTGCAGTCAGCACAGAGCAAGTGAGCCCACATACACGTTGCAACGTGGAGCCCAGGCCTTCCTAGTGGGAGTCAGGGGCTGCAGCAAGTGCAGGGGATTTACGTCAGTACTGTCCCAAAGTCCTGCCATAAGTGGAAATGACAGTGGGGCAGACTGGGAATGCCTTTGAGACATGCAACTGGCACTGGGATCTTTCTAGTTTGCTCCGATACCCTTCTGTAGACAGAAACCTTCCCACAAGCGAGTCCTGGCAGCTATATGTGTGCATGGGCTCCAGGTTGCAGTGTGCATTGATTTCAGCCAGCCCTGGGTATGTATATCACCCAGACCTCGGGGCTGGCAGGAGGCCAGAGCTTCACGCCACAGCAAAGGTGACCAGGGCAGGGAACCTTCTTGCTTGACATCATGCTGCATGTAGTTCCAGAGCACAGAGCTGCAGTAAGGATAACCTTAATTAAGAGACTCCCCAGACTCTCCTCCCACCCCACAGTGAAAGGAGGGAAACCCTTTGCTGCAGTATGGGTGATCCATCTTCAGTGGGGACTAGGTGCACCTATTGCACAGGCCACCACTTCTGCTTGTGAACACCAGAGTCATAAAGTGACTCTGTGGCTATGAACGTCCAACCTTGGATGGAGAAGTCAGCAGGGAAGAAGAATCCCTTCTCATTCCCCATTCAGAGCAGCAAAGAACATCCCCTGGATAGAGCTCATCTTTGCCTGCTATTCTACACCAGGTTAATAAGTGTTAATGAAGGAAGAAAAGCCATCATCTAGGACCCCGTATGAATCACTGTCACAAACAGGATTTACCTACTTATGTTCTCAGTGAGGTGGGAAGCTTAATCCCATTTTATAGGCTGAGGCACAGGCTAGATGGTGTGACCGCAAGCAAGTCACTTAAAATAAATCTGTGACAGATGCAGGAATAAAATCAAGGTTTGCAGAGCCCCAGTCTAAAACCCTGTTCTCTCAGTCGTACCTGCTCTTCTAGTCAAAATATCTCCTGTTCCACTGAACCAGACCTATGGGTCTCTGCGTATGATGATTTGAAATAATCCCGGCAAACTGTTTCATCCCATTCATTTATTCTCCTTCATTTTCTGTTTGCAAGTTATCCATGAACAGGTGTTAATCTTTTTCTATTGGGTTTCCAATTCATAAATCTATCCTTAATGTTAATTTCTGGGTTCCACATTGACAGTCTTCCCCCCCAGTTGTTGCACTCGCCTATTAGCATGCCTGAGCAAGATCCCCCTAATTCTTGAGTACTCATGTGAATTGTGCAAGCTGAACTTTGCAGTACCCAGGCTTTTCAAAGCCTGCTCATTAAAAATAAGCTTGAACTTGTTGAGTTTGATTCCACACGCGCTGCAAACAGTTGGAACGCTCCATTTTTCTGCTGATAAGATGAGCAAAAGTAAGCTGGAGAAATGCTGCAGGAATGTGCGTTGTAAATGAGTAGGACTGACGAGTTTGTTGAGCGCAATCCATCCTGCAACTGCCACACGGCTCCTTTTGGATTGGTAATGGATAGCTGTATCGATTAAGATTGTAATCAGCCACGGCAAACTAATTGAGTGCAGTCAATTTGGTCTCTAGAGCCTTCTCCTAAAGATTAACTCCTATTACAGACAAGTCACTTCAAGCATCTGCTATTCACAGTTTGTCCTCTGCAATACCCAGCTGGCTATTTTAAAAAATAAAATAAAATCACATTGCATTATTTCTGCCGCCTTAGTGGATGACTCTCAAACAGCTTCCAGGATGCACATGCGAAGAGGCTCCTGGTACAAAGCCATACAAAGCTCCATTTGCAGTGTGCCAGGCATCAGACTGGGAGTCACGAGTCCTAGGCTTTGCTCCCCACTGGGTGACTGTGTGCAAATCCCTTCCCACCTCTGTTTCCTCTTCTTTTGTGCATCTCGTCTAAATGCCCTGTAAGCTCTTTAGGGCAAGGAGTTTGTCTCTTAATACACGTTGCAGCTAGCACCAAAGATTGAAATCTCAGTTGGCGCCCCTGCATCCTACATCGCAAAAATCCTGCATTAAAAATTTCACTGGAAGGTATGTTCGTGCACGGCAAACTAAAGGGTTGAGAATTGGCAGCTGTTACTGGAGCAAATGTTTACAGACATATTCTTGGAAAGCTGGATTAATCCTATCTGTTACAGTAGCACTAGATGCTCAGTGATCTGATGATAACTTCCAGCTCTTAAATAGCCCTTTATTTACCAGTACATCTCAAAATGCTTTACCATGGTGGCCCATTTTACAGATAGAAACACTGAGACAAAGTGAGGGGGTCTGGTTTGCCCCCACTCACCCAGAAGACCAGGTGAAGATCTCAGTCTGCCCACTGCTCTGTCCATTCAGCTCCACAGCCTCCCATCAGCTTCCTATTTTACTTGTGCCTGACCTAATAAATGCTCATGCTCCCCCACCTCCCCTTTCTCCTTCCATACAGATTCCTTGAGGTTCAACACAATGCACTGGGTTGCTATCCTGATAGTGGCTGGGATCTGCAGGGTCTCACAGGCCCAGGATTATTACGATGAAGATCTATGGATGCAGTATGTACTTCGGCAAGCCCGGATACCTTCTTATAACTACGTGCCCTACTACGAGGATGAAAGCCCCCCGTACTATTATGCTCCAGGGGAAATGTCCGTAGCAGAACCCGCCCCTGAGTCTGTGCAGCCCGTTTCCAGGCAGTGCCCCCAAGAATGCGAGTGTCCGCCCAACCTCTCCTCCGCAATGTACTGTGACGGTCGCAACCTGAGGTATCTTCCCTTCGTGCCTTCCAGGATGAAGTATGTCTACTTCCAGAACAACCAGATCACCTCCATCCAAGAGGCAGCATTTGACAATGCCACAAACCTGGAATGGATCGCGCTGCATGGCAACCAGATCAGCAGCGAGAAGATGGGCAAGAAGATCTTTGCCAAGCTCAAGAACCTGGAGAGGTTGTATCTGAACAACAACAACCTGACCAAGATGCCCGGCCCCCTGCCTAGGTCCCTGAGAGAGCTCCACCTGGATTACAATCAGATCAGCAAGATCCCAGCCAATGCTTTGGAAGGCTTGGAGAACCTCACCGCTCTGTACCTTAGTCACAACCAGATCTATGAAATAGCAGCATCCTTCAAGGGGTTAAAGTCCTTGATCCTGGTTGATTTGAGCTACAACCACCTCAGGAAGGTCCCAGATGGTCTCCCGATTGCTCTGGAACAGCTCTACCTAGAACATAACTACATCAACACGATCCCAGATGAGTATTTCAAGGTGTCCCCCAAGCTGCTCTATGTCCGCCTGGCCCACAACACCCTGACGAATGAGGGACTCGCTTCTAATGCCTTCAACAGCAGCAGCATCCTCGAGCTGGATCTGTCTTATAACAGGTTCCAGAAGATCCCTCGGGTTAGCACCCAACTCGAGAACCTCTACCTTCAAGGCAACCAAATCAATGGTGAGTACCACCCTGGCATTAAACTTGCGATGCAGACAGGGTAGTGCATGATCCAGTGATCAGTGTAAGGGCAGGAAACGGGAGGGCAACGAGTCAGATGCCTTTTCTGGCCGCCAGAGGCTGGTTTGAGCATGGAGATTGGGATGTAGAGCCTGGGATTTTGGTCCTGTCGCTGCCACGGATTTCTTGGGTGGCCTTTGGCAACCACTTCCCCTCCCTGTGCCTCAGTTTCTTCCATCTGTGATGCTATCTTCATAGAGTGCTTGGAGATCCTTGGCTGAATGGTGCTGTTGTAATGGCACTTGTACTCTACATTATGGAAGCTAATCAGAAGAGTCGTACACGAGTAGCTACGCCTGGTGTATTTGAATATAGTTAGTAAACACATTTATTTGGACCCATTTGGCTCCTTTGTATTCGTGTAGCTATTTAAGGAAGATTCAACAGAAAGAAAGTTGCTCTTCTTATGGCAGGTGACAGACAATATTCTGCTTCTCCTTACGGTGGTGTATAAGACAGTAACCCCAGGGATGTTCATTTAATTCCCTACGCAAGGATATAAATGATGGTGAAAGTGAAATGCCCGGCCCAATTCTGTTCCCACAGACATGGGTATCAATCAGGAGTGACTCCACTGAAGTCAGTGGCGTGGATAAGTGCCAACAAGCGCCCTGGCTGCAACTTTGCTCGGGAAGAAGGTGTAAGCTGTGCAAGTCACACCTGGCATTGACACCTGCTGGGTGTCTGCTCCCAGCAGGGCTGTATTTGGCCCCGGGAGCATGGAGCATAGTGTTGGTGCACTGAAGTGCATATGTGCCCAGGGGGAAAGGCCAAGTCAGTGAGAGCTTTCTGTGTACCCCCCATCTTCTAGCACAGGCCATCATTTACATCCATAGGAACTGCACTACATGATACCCGGATGCATGCGGCACCAGGGGGGCGGGGTACGCATCTGTCTCATCTGAGTTTCTGCCTACTCTCATGTCTCATGCATCTGTCCCTGTATGGCTCCTTCACTGCTTGACATTGCTGGCAGGGGTGTCAAAACAGTGATGCTCCCAGGTCCTGGGGTGCTGGAGAGCCACCGCTCCCCTCCTCCACAGCCTGGCGCTGCCAGCACACATCACTGTTACAGCCCGTTAATCAGAGCTGCTGCCTGCCCCTCCTGGCAGTCTCCTTGGCAGAGGAACTGCATCCATTTACACTAGCTCCAACACTGGCGTGGGCTGATCTGGGGCGTCCTGCGGGACAGTGACAATAAAACCTGAGCAAGTGTCTGAGAAGGAGGCAGCTCCCTCCAGCTGGGGTAGCAGGATCTCTGATGGGGTCAGACAGGGTGGGGGCTCCCCCCCAGACTGCGGGTACCAGTGGCTCCCTATTTGCAATTCTCCACTCCAGGGATCTTCCAGGGGTCGTAATGGATGCCACGGGCTCGCCCTGTCCTACCTTGATGGCAAGCGTCTCTCTGCTTCCTCTTTGTTAACGCCAGGCTCTGTCACACTGGCGACACGAGGAGGAAAACAGAGCCAAGGAGCCTGCTTCTAGAGCCATAGCTTAGCACATCTGACGAGACCCCAGGAGCCGTGCGAGTCCCGGTCAGGTCATTCCCTCCCGCCTGTCGCCTGTGAGTTTGACATGGCCCCTTTACCAGGCAGGACTTCTGTTTGCTGCTAGTGACACCTGCGGAGACAGCACTGTCTGGTTCAAAAGTCTCCGTGACTGACGTGTCCTTGGCTCATAGAGGCACTGACTGGCCAGGAACCAGCTTTCGTTAGTGGAAGCTGCGCATGGGGACTGAGACGGGAGAATGCAACCCTGAGCTGTGGCTGGCACTGGCTAGTTACTAGCAAAGCTTCTGGAAGAAGAGTCTTTAGCCCAAGGCAGCGTCTGACTCACACTGCAGGGCCCTAAACCTAGGACACAAAAGTTTCTGGCATCATTGATGGCTCTCTTTAGAAGGGCCCAACCAAGAGGACATATGGGAAGAAGAAAGACATGCCTTTCTCTCTCTTCCCATGTTTACTGGGATGCACTGAACTTCTTCCATCCATAGCTCTTGAAATTTCTCCAGTTTGGCATCATTTGGGAGTGCAGCCTTTGGCCGATTTATTCTTCAACTTTGAATTATCCAAAGTAGCTGAGATGTAATGGGAGGATGCTGGCACATTGGAAAGTCTTAGGTCAGCGTCTAGATTGCTCTGTAAAACATTCTGCACACAGGAGCAACTTTTCTGCTCAGACATTGGTCCCCCCTCAAAAGAGAATGGAAACATTGCAAGGGAAATCCCAGAATTATTAATGGCATGTATGTGCAGGCTGTAAAAATGGCTGGTAGGGAACAGGGAACCTCTCAGTTTGCGGTGACCTTTAGAAACCAACCTGAGTCAGTCGCTGAGCAAGTATTAGTGCTGTTTTCTCCTGGAGGATGCTCAGCAGACTCAAGGTTTTCATCTTATTCCCTTGCCTAAAGGTCCCCACAAAGATTGGGACCCAATTGGGGGATGGGCTGTACAGACTCTCTCTCGAAGAGTTTCCAGTCCAAATAGACAAGACAGGCAAAGGAGAGGGTGGCTGAGCTGGGATTAAAACCAGATCTCTTGTGTCCCAGTGTGCAGCCTCCCATTTCTGTACCCGGTCTCTGAGATGGCTTCTTCTGAGGCTGCTGATGACTCGGAGCCAGGTTGTCTGGACAAATTGCTACCTACACGGCCGACTTTTTGTCTGACCTTGATCAGTCACTCCGTGACGTGGGGATAGGAGCACTGACCTCTCCCAGGTATTCTACAAGGACAGCGAGGGGCTCGGACACTTCTGTAACGGGGACCATCTTAGGATAGAGACACTAGAAAAAGTCCCTCCAGGTTACTGGAGGCAGGGTAAGCAAAAAGCTTGTGGCACCGTTTCCTGTGCTCCAGTTTTATCTCCAGAAACTGCAACGTGGCATCTTCTGCCAGGACCTTTATTCTCTCAAATGAGAAAACAAAACAGAACAGACTCATTTCTTTTTTTCAAAAAAACCCGAAACAGCTGGAAAAATCCATTCCCACTTCGCTCACCTGTCAAGCCCCGAGGTCACGATCTTCTTTAAGCAGAGGTGGTGTCACAGGACTGTGAGCAGCTTGCTACGTTGTGCGCACTCTTTTAATTAAGTGTTAGTGATGCCGTCAGCTGTGGCAGAGGAGACACGCAGCCCCACGCTGGGGAAGTGATGGATAGCTGAGACAGGAGCCAGTTTCCAAATGTTTGCTTAAAAAAAAATTGCACTTGCTAAATGTGTCCACAGATGTCATTAAATTGTTCTGGATCTCAAGCTGCTCTGCTTATTCATTCATTTTTACTGCAGGTTTTGCATTTGACCTTTCAAGTTTAATGAGTTGCGCAGAAAGCCCCCGCTTCTTCCTTCTTGCCCCCTGTAGCGAGCAAGGGATGCAGCAGATCAAGGGAATCAGTGTTCAGGGTTTGTAATACATACACACCTGGCCTCTGCTGAGCCTTTACGATAGTGGTGGTGGTCCCTCCGAGGCTGACAAAGTCTTTCCTATACCACATCTCAGCTGAAGAATAATATTGGGTCTTTGTCTGCTGCCTTTTCATCCGGGGATTGCAAACAACTTTACAAAGCCAAGAATTTAAACCGAGGTAACGTGGCCCAGCCGATAGGAAACAGAACTGGGAAAAAACGGATTGTGGCTTGAATCTTGGTTCTGCCTTGTATGGCCTGGGGCAGGTCATTCCCCCTGAATTTCCTGTCTCAGCCTTTATCCAGTCTACTCAGCCTGAGAGTCGTTTGAGGCAGGAATCGCTCTTATTACATGTATGTACAGAACCCAGGACATGAGGGCACCACCGTATTAGAAGCAGTAGGGTAGGGCTGTATTACTTTCCTGGTGTTGCACCTGGGCAAGAGAGAGGCAAAGTGATTTGACCAAGTTGCACAGTGAAACAGTAGCAGAGGCAGGAAGAGCATGCATGATTCCTGTTTCCCAGGTCCCTGGCTCTAACCACTGGTCAATGCTTTAGTAAATCCACATATGATTTTCTATTAACACTGAAAGTGCTGGCAGGAGATTCCAGGCCCATTCCCTTCACCTGCCTCCTGACTCTCACTGTACCGCTGGAATTTACCTCCGGACAGCCATCACCTCCCTCCCCTCCAGCTTTGCACAGGGAAAAGCTGTGCTAAGGAGTTCTCTTTGTTCTCCTCCTCCCCCAGGTATTTCTTGCACATCTGCCAAGTCCTGGAGTGTTGCTGCCCCCTGGCTGCTCACTCCTTTCCCAGAGCCTGCAGAGGAAGCTGGACCCTGCCACCTTCCCCGTGCCCAAAAGCTTGCAAAGAACATTTTTTCCAACTACTCAGTTGGTGTAATAAAAGATATCACCTCTAGCCAAAGAACCTTGTCCACCTATGTCCTTAGAGCAACACGGCTACAACCAAAACTCCCACCCTCCTCTGAAACATGCACACCCTCCCCCTCCCCGTGACCCACCTGGGGCTTTTCAGGGTTGCCAAATACTCTATAATAGCTGAGGTGGGACCACAGCACCCTTAACTGTCCTCAGAGGGATCTTGCTGAAGACAAGGAGATAGACCCAGCTGTGACCTCTGATATATCTGGTTTCACCCCATTAATACAAACAGGGGGTCTGAATCACTCCTCTGTGACAGCAGTCGCGCTCCATTGACATCAGCAGGGCTACTCCTAAAGCACACCAGAAAAAGTGAGAGTTGTCCCCATCTCATGCCTGGTCCACAAAAAAGCTTATTATTGATATGAGCTAGAAGAATTACTTCTTTTGTTCAAGAGGTAAGGGCTTGTGGTCAGGATTTTCTGCAATGACCTGCGATACTGGTTGCCCTAGTTGAAAGGGGTCTGATTTTCACAGGGTTTGGGCTCAGCACTCTGAAATCCAGTTCTCAAGCCCCCAAAATTATTATGCATTTTTGAGGACAGTGACTTTGTTGAAAACAATCTGCATGCAAACCCTGCCTGTGACTCAGGTGAATGTGCCATGTGTGAGTGGTTCTTAGCAGTTTGCTCTAGGCTGTAAGCCATTGCAGTAGCATGCACCATATTACGAAATGCATGTTATGGCTTATTACCAATGGTGTGAATCCAGCTAAGACAGCTTGCTAGATAGATCTGGGCTCCGGCTGTCTCAGCTCTCCGTCTTCTTCTCTCCCCACAGAATTCTCCATCAGCAGCTTCTGCACAGTCGTGGATGTCATGAACTATTCCAGGCTCCAGGTCTTACGACTGGATGGGAACGAGATCCAGCGCAACGCGATGCCCCCCGATGCACCACTCTGCCTGCGGCGGGCTAGTGTCATTGAGATTTAACCCCAAGCCCTGGATCCCTGGCCTCTCCCCCAGTCCTCAGGGCAATGCCACCCCAGATCCAGTGACCCATGCTGGGTGAAGGCCTTCAGTCTCATTTTAACGCTGCTTGATGGTTTGATTTGGCTTCTGCAATAGCATAATATGGGTGTCAATAGCAGCCTACGCAGGGGTTCCTCGCCTGCTCTGGAGGGTTGATTCATTGACTGCGCTCACTAGGCGCTGCCCCTTCTAGTCTAATTGGGCTCCACCAGCATGGGACGAGGTCTCCACTTTGTCCTGTAAAACCCCAATGGTTCTCTCACTAACTGAACAATCAGTTCTCTTCCTTCTCACCCTTGTCTGTCTGCACCTGTCTCCCACTGGCACAACTGGGTTGGGTGGAGCAGGATTCCTGGTGGCCCACTTCAACACACTTCAGCTGGGACGGCTTTGGTGCTTATGTTCTGCATAGGAGGGACTCTGAGAGGATAGGATTAAACCCAATTTTAAGAAAAGGAGTAGTGCAGAAAAGCAGAACAGGGAAGCAAGGGTCATCCACAGAGAGATTGAAAGACAAAAAGAGAAGGAGGGAGGGAGAAAAAAAATCTAACAGAAAACCAGATGGGCCAGAACCTCCCCGCTGTACAGGGCTGTCGCTGCTTTGATATCAGCAGAGTTGGGCGCATTCACACCCGTCGAGGGACTCATTCTTTAATTCTCATATTTTGGTTCCCTCTGCTTAAGACAGCTAAATTGTTGGGTTACGCTGTCCCCAAAGTGCACTGCAGGCTTCCACATGGCTGGCAAGATGGAGGGGGTGATGCTGGATGGCGAATTGCCCTCATGGGAAACGGGGAAGAGAATTTGAGAGCCCAAAACAAAGCAACACGTTTCCTTGGTACATTTTTGAGCCCCGTATTTTTCATCCACCCTCAAAACATTGCTAAACCAAGAGGGCCTATTGGTAGATGATATCCTCAAGGCAGTATCCACCATTCGGATGTTGCAAGCTGGATTGCAAGCTGGAGATCCATTAAGCTCCTCTTCTGATCCTTAATGGAGCTTGATGGATCCTCTTAAGATCCTCTTTTATGTTAAGGCCTCTTTGAACCACAAGAACAGCATGAAGTGGCCCTAAAGCAAGTATAACCCCATCAACTGCAAGTGAGAATCATCCCCACTTTTTAACAATCCAGGCCCAGTCACCACTCCTGATCTCAGTGACAGTGGTGCAAAATCAGTAACCCCCGCTCCCTACCATGGTGAAACTCGTAGGATTATAAAACCTTCCTGCTTCTACACACAGGCCAGTGGTTTAACTGCTTGGTCTGGGGAAAAAAAAAACTACCCTTAGAAATAGGTCACACAAGAATTGCCCATGGAGGTTTCTTTCATCTTCTTGAAGCAGCTAGTGCTGGCCTTGATCAGAAGCAGGACGCAGAATTGGATGCAAACTCTGGGCTGATCTGGTATAATCCTTCCTATTGAATGGTCCCCATCATCTTGGCCTATTGCATTTGATAACGCCCATCACCCCAGCATCTGCCTGTTTCTGTCACCATGGGAAATCAGCCCTTCATCACAGATGCAAACACCTTTGGAGGGAAGGGCAGAAGAAGTGGACGTGGCTAAACAGCTGTGTTGGGCTGCAACGATGGATGCTTGCTTTTTGGTTGTAGCTGTGTTGGTCTAAGGACACAGATAGGCAGGGAAGGTTTTTTGAGCAGATGTGCTATCTTTTATTAGACTGAGTAGATGGAAAAAAGTTATGGATGCTTGAAACAGCATTAGCCAGGGACTTGGGGGTGCATGTGGGTCCACATCTTTCACATCCCACCTTGTCCTGCAAGGGATGTTTATAGGATAAATCAGAAGAGATTTTCCCCCTTCCCCTGGGGCAGAGAGGAAGCGTGAGGCCGCAGAAGTGTGCATTTCCAGTTGCACCGAGTCAAAGGCTTCTGGCTTGATATAACAGACTCCTGCAATTGAGGCAGCAAGATGGCAGTTCTGAGGCAGGCGCTGGCTGGAAGCATCATTTCATAAGTGTCCTTTTCCACATCAGCTCCATTCAACATATTAGCTGGTAACAGGAGGAGACAGTGCTGTGGTTCTCGCTGGCAAGGAGATGGTTTCTCATTACTTTCTGCTCCGGTGGACTCCAGCTTTACTAATCACCACTTTTAGCACATGCATCACATTGTTCTTTCCAGCTGTCACTTGGCTGCAGGTAAAGAATGGCACAGTTCATGGGAGCAGCCTTCAGAGCCAGCTCCAACTAGAAAGCCACCTGCTTTGACACGACAATGCCAGGAGGGACTCACTGTAATTCAGTGAGGTAGAGATTTTACCACTTAGACAGACTGATGCTCTGAAGCTGGGAGTGTCAGGCCTCTGGGTCTACCCATTCAGATGCAGCAACTAAATGAAAGGAGCTGCCCAAACTTGTCCTTATTGCAAAATCCCCCTGTTCCTTCCCATGGTGGTGATGTGCATTCGTTAAGTATTGCAGTGCCTGTCTGGCTGTATCATTGTTCGCTCTGAATTTCTCCTGAGAAATCCCCCAGGGCAGACAGGCAGATCTAAGCACCCCTAGTCTTTGGTTCAAAACTCCTTTTCCCTCCGCGGAGAGAACTGGGGTGTCATTGCAAAAGGACGTGTGGCAGTGAATTTGAAGTGCCAGGCACGGTTTACTGGACATGTTAGTGAGAGAACAAGGGGTTGGGGAGCTTCCAGGGGAACATGGGAAGCTCATTAAAGGGAAGTCATCAAAACCCTCTGCATTTAAACTGCATGCTAACAATATAAAATAAACCTGTACTATCATCAAAGCATGAGCTGTAATTATCATACTGAGCAATAAAACCCTTTCTATAATTGCATGATACGTGTTCGAGGAATGAAAACATGCAAAAGCCAGGGTCTGCATATCTGGGCGGTGACTGGAGATGGGCCTGAAACAAATATTCTCAGAATCTAAGGCCAAAAACGATTAGCAGTCTTGGGTCCTGAGCCCGAGATGCCTTAAAGGAGCCTGAATTGGCAGGGGCAGCTTTGCAACTGATGCCGATTGCCCCAGCTCCACTGACCTGCCTGAAAAACGAGCCAAGGACGGCACGCTGCTAAACAGCCGCCTGCAAATAGCTCCATTATTTTTTCTTAACTTCACAGCACCCCAGAGGCCCCAGCTGTGCATCAGGCCTCACTGTGCTCTGCCTCAAACCACGTAGTTAACAGTCCCAGCTCCAGAGAATTTACAGGCTTTATTAGGGGCAGAAAGTCACCTTCTCTAGATCATGCTAAACATGCCTGCAAGCCTTGCAAGAGCCAGGGGTCAGGGCACTGCTTTCAGGCAGTGACTCAGAGGACAGGGAGCCAGAAACCTCTGATGCTATTCCTGGCTCTGCCACTGGCCTGCTGGGTGACCTCGGCCAAGTCCCTTCCCTTCTCTGTGCCTCTCTTCTGACCCTTTGTCTATTTAGATTTTACACTTCTTAGGGTACCAGCGGTCTCTCATCATCACATGCAGACCCCATGGGGTCAAATCTCAGTGGGTGCATCCCATGATGTCAGTACGAAACAAATTCCCTCAAGCTCCACTACCCTGCGTACATGCTACCCCCCAGGGGAGAAAACGAATCAAAATGACTTCAGACATATGCTGGGAACCGTAACATCCACTCTTGCCGCAGGGCTCCTGTTCCCCATCAGCTCTGCTAAACCCTGATCCTCCTGCAAATACAATCCGGGCTAGTTTTGCCCACTAGTGGCCCAGACCTGATACTGCACAAGTCTACGTGGCTTTCCCCCCGCTTTCAAAGTAGCCCAGCTGCCATTCAAATACCATCCACGTGTTGGCTCCTATAAATGTTAGTGTACCTCAGCTAAAGGGGAAAAAAAAAAAAAAATATATGTTAAAAATTGACTGCCAGTTGCCAGGGAGGGAAAAAGGGTATGGCAGTCAAACTGGAAAGGTAATTTAAGTCTATGTTTCCTGGAGCACTCTAAGTACTTCATGTCCTGGTATATGCCCTGCTATTCAGGCTGGTTTTTGTTGGAGGGAGGGGGGGTGTTAATAGTTAAGCTAGTAGATGCTATAAAAATTCATATGGACAGCAATTATATGAATCCAGAAGCATTCAGACAATCTCATTGTCCAAGCCTCCATTCTGTAGCTTTATTTTACCAGCTGAAATGTTGACAGTAGATAGATAGATAGATAGATAGCTAGATAGATAGATAGATAGATAGATCAGATCAACAGAAACAGGAATAAGGCTAGGAAGGTTTGAGGAGTGGGGGAAAGAGGCAGCCTGCTACGGCTGATGGTGTTTCTGGATGGCCTGGTTGGTGGGTCATAATTTCATTTGAGTAACCCCTCCCCAGATACTGCTAAGCATCCTGGCAGCTTTGGCTGGAGACAGTGGCTTGCAATAGTCCAGCCCTGAGAACAAGGGTCTGGCTCTGGTTCTCCTACTCTTTGACCCTGGGCAAAGTATTTCACCTCTCTGCACTATTGTTTACCCACTAGCAGAAGAGGATACAGTGATCCATAGCCCCTTTGGAAAGCGTTTTTGGACACAATGGGAAAAAGTGCAATGGAAGAAATATGTGTTATTATGAAATCCACTTTGGGTCAGAGTGTGCTGCTTTTATTCACTCCAGTGTCCCCTCTGTCATTCATTCTTATCCTTGGAGTGCACAGGGTAGAAACTGTCACCCAAATAACCCAATATACTACAATGGGATGAAGGGAGACAAGATCGGCACCAAAGGCAGTTATAGTAGAAGCTGCTTTGAGAACAGCTGTCCAGCAGAGCCCAGGAGAGGAAAAGCTCTGAATAACTCCCTGAAATAAGTCTATCAGAAGGGCCCTTGCCAAAGTTTCAAAATCAACTGCCATGACTCTGCCCCAAATTTTTAGATTGAAATTTTAACACTGTAGTCACTTTCCCAGGTTGCTTGCCAGGACTGCGGCTATGATGGATCCAAGGGTTGACTTGTTCTGAGACAGCAATATACTTGATCATTATAGAATTGCTCAAAAATTTTAGCTCCTTTGTCCTCAAAAACAGCTTTCAGATCCAAATCAAACAAATCACTAATTATGATTTTGGTAAGCATGGCCTAATCTGCTCTGGCACTAAGCCCCTTCAGTTCCTGTTGGCTTCAATTACGCTTTAAGGTGCTCAACACCTCTGGATATCAAACTCTACAATGGCATCCAGGTGGCCACCAAAAGCCCAGAGGCCACCATTGAAAGCTTAATCTGTGCCTTAACATTTGTGTTTGTACAGCCCCTAGCACAAAGAAGTCAAGATCCAAGACTCGGGGCTCCTCAGGCCTACCACAAGACGTACACAAATCTGTCACAGGTGAGTCTAGCCATACACTAAGCTGGCATAAACCTCCACTGAAGTTTTGGGCCCAAATGCAAACTTTCCCAAGTA